GCAATTAACTCACTGCAAAGTATCTATTACATCAGCGCTAAAATAAAATATGCCTAAAAAGGGTGCCAGTGCTGTGTAACGCCAGAAGAAGAAAAAAAAAAGGTTATAACTTGCGATTTTTACCCCATCACGTTCGGCTGCGAGATTTTGTATCGGTTCCCACGGGCTGTTCTATATTGTAGGGGTGTTTTGAGATTCTTTCGTTGCTGTCAGTACACAGCGTGCCAAGTGACTCGGCTTCGTTCGACGAGGTCGACACACCGTCTCCAAGACAAAAAAATTGGCTGTCGTCGGTGGTAGATATGCTTAAAACTTTCAAAATAAGCAAGGCATGACACCCCTAGAACATAGGACATTACGAAAACACGCAACCGAACGAGATGGGGTAAGAATCGTGAGTTGTACAAAAATAGGTTCTGATTGTATGTCTGTCTTGATTTTTCTTTTAGTGTAGAGTGTCGGTCAAACCCCCCTTTAACTCGTCGCTGCACAATTTTTCTTCATACCGTAATGATCTATCTGCGCTTCCGCATTGTTCATTTGTCCAAGAAGGGCTTTGACCACGTTGAGCTTGTCTTGTATGTGTTCACTAATCAGTGATGCAGATTTTGACAATCTATGTATTCATTTTTATTAACACCTGCATGCCCCATAAGAGAAGACCTAAAAGACGCTACTTGCCAGAAACTTCTTAAACGATGTTTACCACTCTGCACTGACAATGCATGTCTCCACCTTTCTCGTCACGATTTCTGTTTGTTACAATCACGACGCGTGTGTGATGTTGGTTCTCAAATCAGCAGAAAGCTGCTGTGACTACTCCATCTCCACTATATGGCGTGGCGTCATATGCTCGGTTTTGCTGCACCAAACTTAGGATTACCCTAAAACCTTGAGCTGAAAACGGGACATCTCAGTGACAACACCCCCACCCCCCACCCGTTTCCCTTTTTTTTTTAACAAGAATTATTTATTAAAATTAATTCATCTTATTATTATTATTAATTAAAGAAACAAAATATTTTAAGAATCTATTGCAAGATTTTTTAAAATTGGCGAGGGTTTGTGTGGGTGTGTGTGTGTGTGGGGGGGGGGGGGGATTTTAACAACGGACCGACATCAAGGCTCAAGGGTAGTAACCCATAAGTGCTCCGTTCTACTTCTTACTCAAGCCTGAGTCTGAAGATTCTCAGCGCATTGCACGAAATCCGTAGCACCGACGAGGATCCCGAAATACTTAAGGTAGTTTTTAACTTAAAATTTTCCTAGGCTTCTCTATTTGATTTCCATCTGCCAAGGGATTTTTTTTTAAAGTGCCCAACAATAAACACTGTTTTTTTTTAAAAAGGGCGGGGAGACGGGACCAGCTAGGTATCCCTAAAAAAAAACCGGGACTTTCTCGGTCAAAACAAAACGCATAGTCACCCCAGCTAAGCATCTTCTTTTCATTTTTGCGTCAACACTATGCACTTCAATTCCCTCTCAACACAGAGCCATCTGTCTAAGTAATAACATTACCTAGCCAGAATTGTCATGAATCAGATGCATGCCTGATTATGCAGCGCAAGCTGGTTGTGATAGTAATAACTTGCTATCTCCTTCCTTGCTATTGTAACGTCGAAACTTGTACTGGGTAAGTCTGTATGAATGCACCGTGAAGACGCAAGACAGAGGGTGTTAGAGGTTCATTCCAACCTACATGTCATGGGCAAATAGCAATCCGTTATTGATTGATTGAAGGATCAATGCCGTTGAATAATAAGTGATACGTAACTCTTTGTGAATGAAAACAGTTATAGGAGACAGGGGGAGACAACCATTGGTAGACAGAAAGAAACTTCTGCTATGAGTTCATCTTTAACCGGAAAGTTTGTTAAGTTAAAATTGAATTTTTATGTGGACTGAAACGATACATTCTATGGCAACGAATAGGTATTTATATTACTTTAGTGTACATATTTGCCTGATAGTGCTCTTGTATACCCGTCACACGTTATTTCTTGTGTGACATTTGCTGTGTTATAGTTATAAATAATTTAATTAGAATTTTGATTAATTAATAATTAATTATATACTAGGTATAGTATTATTTATATTTCCTTGTGCAATCTGCGTTTTAATATGCAAGGATCACTAATAAACGAGTACATTAGTAACATCGGCGGCGTACTCTTTGCTGCTGACCTTGCCTGGATAGCAGATACAGCCATAAAATTACAACAGTCAGCAACTAGAATCTATGAAGGAAGAATATGAAACAAATGAAAATCAACAGGGAAAAGACAAGAGTAATAATAAAACCTAAATAAAGCATTAGAGTGCAAAGGCATAATCAGACATCCAAATTTAAACATCTGGGAAACATTAATTGAAGAATGGAATTTGGATAAAGAAATTAACATCAGATGTTATAAAGCAAACCAAGTCTTTGGATGTCTAGCTCCCTCTTGCAGCATAAGATTAGCCCAAAAAAGCATCTCATAAAAACCATGTTCATTTCCACCCTATGCTACCAGTGGCTGACATGGTCACCCACAAAAAAATCAGTAAAGAAAATCAGTAACCATGGAAATTAGATGTCTTAGAAGAGCTGCAAGAGTGACCAGAAGAGATAATGAATGAGGCCATAAGAGAAAGTCGGTACAGAACCAATTGTAAATTACATACAAAGACAGCAAATCAAATGGTTTGCCTGCTTAGAGAGAGTGCTTTGTGGTGCTTTGCCAAAAACAAAAACAAAAGAGGGCATAGAGCACAAGCTTAACCAAGAGCAAGATAGAAAGACATCATCAAGGAAAAGTTGACAGAAAAGCAAGAAGCAGAACCTATAAGCTCCCTCAACACCTGAAGTGGTAAAAGAGAAAGTGAAGAAGAAGAGGAAGAAAATGTGTTTTGCATAATTTCTTTTGCAGTCATTTAGTAAAAAAGCAGATAAACAACTCTGCCGGTCTGGATTCTGGTACCCCATAGTGTGAAGAATAAAAGAGAATAGATCCAGTGCACCCTAACAAGCATGTTGTAAATTCAACTTAGGGGTGTTTCCTTCAAAATTGTAGTGCATCTGCCTAAGAGACAAGGAACCAACATTCTGCATACAAACAAGCCAGATCTGTAAAATGGATGTATGTGCAAAACTCAAGTTCTGGAATAAGATGAAAGTGCAGAAATGGACAAACAACCAGAACTTTCCATCAGTGTTTACAGCAGTGTACACAAAGAAGAGGAAACAAAGTCAGTTATCTGATTACTAATAATTTTTACCAAGTTTTGAAACTTAAAGAAGGTGCTCAGAATACTTTTGTCATTTACATGAAGAGAGAAACTAGAATGCATTGAACAACATGATGTTGATCATCCTCAACATGATTATTTATTAATGATATCAATAATTAATTAATAATTTTCATGTGAGAAATAATAATAATTCTTTGGCCTCCAGTATTACCTAGCATGCATTGGTTTTTTTCTTCTTATCACACGTATTTAAATTTGATTTGTCGAATTAATGCTTGTGATGTTTGACCTTGTATCAGCCTGTAAATAAATGGATCAGATTTCTGTGGTGCGAACAGATGATAGTTTAAGTGATTATATATCATATATCATGGGGCTTGTAGTCTATTCTTCTACTCCATTGTTTCCATGCAATACTTTCAGTATCATGGATGATATCGAGTCCATCCCCTTTGGTCTCTCTCCTCAACGTTCATTTTAGGGTTTCTCTTGAACGTAATAATTTCCTCAATCCATGTTTTCGAGAAAAAGGAAAAAAAAAAGAAGGCAGGCTTCTAGAGGGACAAAAGAAAATGGTGTGATTGTTGGACATGGGGTTTATTTGGATTGTTTTATTCTTCATTAGCTAGTTCATTCCATCACCTTCTTGTGCCATAGGGCTTGCAGTTGATTCCGCCATTCTGTCCTACCATGTACAGTCCTCCTCATATTGTGTATTGAACTAAGATCAGCATCTTATCAGCATTCATTGCAGGGTCTCTGTTGGATGTGTTCTCTTCCTCAGTCTGTTTATTTCCCTTTTCAGTGCTATCTGTGACTTAGGCAGGATATTAATTTTTATTTAACCTAAGAACTGCCAACTTGTAGTGCAAGCCACATTGACACCTCTTGCAAAACGATTGTCCTTTTCTGAAAATGTGTTTTTTTCATTATCATGTGTTTTAGTAAAAATCTTAATTTTGCTTATTATCTGGATTTTATTTTGATGTCTTTCATCAGATATAATTACCACTCTAACAGAGCTTTATGTATATTATGTAACATTAATTATTACCAAGATTGTGGCATTTTTTTTTCAAGTGCACCTTTATAACTTTTCGTTCTATCAATAATTCTTTCCTTCAAAAGTTATCTTGGATTTTCTTTTTTAAATCTCATTTATGCATGAGCCACCAACTATAATACCTATAAATATACTACTGGAAAAAAAGAACATGTGGGTAATTAAAGGAACATAATTTCATCATAATTTTGACATTCAAAATCTTTGTAATTTATTGAGTGAAAATGGTCAAATTGCTTAAAAAAATACCATAGGGGTTAACCAGTCAATTGCCAGTTTTATTGTGTGCATATGGGCCATCAATAGTTTTTAAGCATGCAGACTTTCCTATCAGTTATTATAACGTGCCATCTGACAACCATGCGTTTCTTGTTTTGAACAGTGTAGTTTATATTTTCAATTCATAGTTTTCTACAATTCATGTAATTTCTATAATTTTTGTTCAAGTGTCACGGCAGAAGGAAATGAAGAAGATGGGGATGATCACTTTAGCATTGTCTCAGGTGATCTTGGTCTGGGTGACAGCGTTAAAAGTTCTTCCTACGTAAACTCAGAACTTCAGAATATTGGTCATGGTCACAGCTTCCTGTCTGCAAGTGACTCTTGTCTCCTTAAAAATGTGAGAGGTGTCGCCAGCGGTTTTTGTCTTCACAGCAACACTTTATCAAATGAATGTGGTGCTCATTTATTTGGCAAGAAATCTATGCACATTGACCAATCATTAGAAAAAGTGACATCCAGTGATACGCTGGATACTTCTAGAAGTAGTGTTAATGCAGGAGATTCAAGAACAGATCTGGAAGATTTCCCAACTTATGCCGATGTGCCTTATGGAACGTCACTTAGGCAGCAAAAGAAGCTTTTTGAACAGCAGATTGACAACCTTCGTCGACAGTTTTCTGCTAGTTTGCCAGGAAACAGCGCTGAATCTGATTCTGGGAAGCATAATTGGAGTATGTATTTGTTGCGACCTATTTAATATTTATTGATTTAATTTTTTTTTTCTCGTGAAGAACCCTATCCAAATTTAACGGAGATGTTAACAATCGCTAAATCTAAAACAAAAAACACCCAAAAAAAACAATCATTTTATAAAATGTGGTCCCTGTGTGAATTCCATAGTTTCTTTTTGGAGAACAATGAATAGTCCTACTGTCCCACTTACAGGCATATTAGTAACAACTTGGGTAGAAAAGCACACGAGGCTGGACATTTGAGAGACAGGCATGTCATAGAAAGCGTCCAATTAGGGGTGTTTCCTTAAGAGTCGGAATGCATTGCCTGGAGAGGCAAGTAACCAGCAGCCTGCATACAAATAAGCCAAATCTGTAAAATGTATGTGCATGCAAAATTCTAATTCTGGATCAAGACCAAAGTCCAGGAGTAGATGAATGACCAAAACTTTCCGCCAGAGTTTACAGCCAAAGAACGCTAAAGAAAAAAAAAGAAGAATAAATGAGTCATGGTGACTGAGTAAAATGCATTTTAATTCCTCCTTTTTATTTTTATTTCCTGTTTCAAAGCTTTTGGTGTTGAGGTTGGTACACTGTTCTGGCTCTTGCTCTTCTGGGTTCCTCTGACACTTGCTACTGCTGTATAGTTTGTTTCTCTGATGTTATCTCTCCATATTATTCTTGGTCTGCCTTGATCTGTAAGATCTGTATAATGTGGCATCACAAGGTATTCCATATGGCATCACAAGGCATTCCAAATGGCATCACAAGGCATTCTCTTAAAGTGAGGAATCCATGTTATAATTCTTTAACCTAGTTTATTAAATTATCTTGCCACAAAGCGTCGTAATCTTTGTCACCTCAATATTCAACCCTCTTAAAATCTGTGTACAGTTCAGGTGATTAGAAGTGTTTTACTTTTACTATGGGCCAACATTACTCTAGAATGTTTATGCAGTTTGTTTATCCCGCAGTTTAGAGCTGGTTAAATTACTGTTTCCATTTTAAATGTTTGTTTGTTATAAGTTTTTAGGGCATTCATTTAGCTTCTTCTTCTTCTACTTCTTCTTCTTCTTCTTCTTCTTCTTCTTCTTCTTCTTCTTCTTCTTCTTCCTCTTCTTCTTCTTCTTCTTCTTCTTCTTCTTCTTCTTCTTCTTCTTTTTCTTCTTCTTCTTCTTCTTCTTCTTCTTCTTCTTCTTCTTCTTCTTCTTCTTCTTCTTCTTCATGTTCATGGGTTGTTAACTCCAGCAGAAAATTGTGGTTGTTCGAACACTACTGGACTTTACTCTTGTTCCAGTACTTGAATTTTTGTGTGAACATCCATTTTACAAATCTGGCTCAATTGTATGCATGTACATGCTTGTTGGGGGAAAGGGGGTCTGCAATAGAAAATGTTCACTGTAATAGAAACACTTACTATAATAGAAGACATGCACTGTAATAGAAAACATGTACTGTAATATAAAACACACACTGTAATTTAAAGAAAAAAATGTGCACTGTAACAGAAAATGTTTACAGTAATAGAAGATGTGCACTGTAATAGAAACCGCTCACTGTAATAGAGAACACACACTGTAATAGAAAATGCTTACTGGCCGCCTGATGGGTTCAGTTATATGCAATAAACAAACAGTCATTTATTGATTGGCACTCAGAAAGAATTTGAAGATAGAAGGACACACTAAAAATAAAACAATAAAAAACATGGTAGCTATAACTTTAGTAGAATTTAAAGTCAGCTACTCTAGACGCATGACAATACTGTGCGAGTCTGCAGACCTCACAGTAAGCACAATTTAGCGTGCCCTAAAGGGGGGGTAGAAGGGGAAAGTGAGCGATGCAATAGATTCTGCCCAGAATGCACTGAAATTAAAAGAAATCATGGGTTACACTCAAACAGCACAGCAGTTGTGCCCCCCCCCCCCCCCCCAAGAATGTCTAGGAGGGAAATGGGCTGAAAAATTTGTCGACAGGGGACTCCTGCTGAGGATTGGTAGGCTTCTGCTGTGCATGCTACCATCGTTGAGTTCTTCTTCTTTCTGCTTCTTTCTGTGAGTGCCAATGATACATGTCTGTTGATTATATATAACTGAACCGATCAGGCTGGTAAGGAGTACACAAGCAGCTATACTACAGCAACTCATTTTTCACACAACGACCAGATTCTGTGATGTACAAGAGATACCCCGATAATATGTATTTGATATATACCTGCACTGCTGACTATTACAGATCGGCTCAAAGTGGTGCAAGCAGAGCCATATCTCAGAGGAGCTGCAGACAGGAAACACCTGCATGAATGCTAGACAGAGCTGAGGGTCACAGACAAAGAGGAAAGTCTTGGATGGTGGGAGCTGAAGACACAATTATACATGTGTGCAGGCTTGATAACATTGGGCAAGGAGAGGAGTAGGTCAGAGCGTCCAAGCAAAAGACAGATTTGTGTAGGGTTTTAATCACATTGGGCTGTGAGTGCAGGGACTGGCCATCGGGCGCTGCAGAATCAATTCAACAAATGATTCACCCAGGTGATGTGATCATTATACAGATGGCTCTGTGTTGAGATGCATACAAAGTTCATGGGGTTCTTAGCAAAATGAATAGATGCCGTTTAGTGCTACAGAGATTGGCATGTGACACCAAACCATCTGGTTTGAGAATGGAGGTGGAGGCAACCACTGTAGACTTCAGCTGGCTTGAGAATCAGCAGTACACATGTGTCATAATTTTAACTGATTCACAGAGCATGTTGAGAAAGGTAGAGACATGTATACTCTGGAAAGAGTGATTTTAACTGATTCACAGAAAATGTTGAGAAAGGTAGAGACAGGTATACTCTGGAAAGAGTGATTTTAACTGATTCACAGAGCATGTTGAGAAAGGTAGAGACAGGTATTCTCTGGAAAGAGTGATTTTAACTGATTCACAGAAAATGTTGAGAAAGGTGGAGAGAGGTATACTTTGGGAAGAGTGGCATGCATCGCTTCAGAGGTCCTGAGTTGTTAGCGTTCTTTGGATATTTTCTCCAGGTCATGCTGGTATACTGGGAAATGAACAGGCATATATGGACTGGTTCTGTATTGATGCATGACAAGCTAGATGTTGTAAGGGCCCTTTGAAAGTGAGTGAACAGTGTGGAGGTACATAGATGGATCATCATGGTCTGAGGAGAATGGTGCTGCGAGGAGTGATGAGAGGATCTTTACTTCGATCAACACTCAGGAGAAAGGCAAAATGGATATACAATTGAACTGCTACTGGTATCATCAGAATAGGAACTCTGCACTTCCTGCTGAAAATGGAGATGGAGCTCTTATGGGAATGTCCTGATAGCTGGTATGTCAGTTATTAATTAAACATTAAACAAAGACTAGATGAAAATGAAATTAATTATGTTATCATTTGTGATGCTCAATTGTTATCCTAGAATCCCATTTTCATTATTGATTAGGTTTGCTACAAAATTTTTCTCGAAAGCTGTCAGTGAAGGAGATTGAAACTAAATTAATGGTAGCTTTGCAGGTAAGTGTTTATCTTACTTGTGTAGTTTTTTTTCCCCCTGTAAAATTCTTCTTTTATGTGAGCAGAAATGTTATTTATGTAGTGTAATTTTGTTTAATCAACTCTTAAAATGAAACCTTACTTAAGGGACCCTGTTTCATGCCTTAAAGTGTATTGGGCATGTAGGGCTAGACCTATATTTTATAGGCCATTCAGCATTTGGTGGGTAATGTGGTAAACATCAAGCCAGTTGCCTGTACTTTTCATGAATTCTGTTACCCATAAAAGGTTGGGTCACCTCTGAGCCAAGGTCATTTTTGAAAAAAAAGTCCAGCTTTGCCAGGACTGAACCCACAACCTTCAGATCCCCACCTGAGCGTCTAGTCACCCCATCATGACAGCTCCTGAAATATTACCTTGTAAAGTTTAAAAAAAAAAGTTAATGTGTATCCTTTACAGGACGTTGCAGAACACATCCCAGCATTATTTGGCTGCTGTAGTTTTTCTAGGCCAAGTTTACGTTCAGTAGTTTGCTATAGCTTTCTAAACGGTCATCTCTCGGTACCACTGTTGAAACCAACGTAAGATTAACTGTCCTCAGCTTGGATCGAACCCAGCACCCTGGCATTACAAACCGCGTTTGCAATGCCTAAGCCTTTGATGCCGACTAACTCGTAAAGGCAAAATATAAAGTTAATAGCAAACAGTGAATCCCTTTCTCTCTGGTTTTTTTTGTATCACAGCTAATGTCTAAGGAGGGTAATAAGGACTACAATAAAGTCACAAGAATTATAATTTTGACATTCTGCAGCATAAAATACATTTTTTCACTGAATTTCTCTGATGTCTTGAAAGAAATTAAATTTAAGAGAAGAGCATAATACACATTTTTGGGAATTTAAGGAGAAGGTGAAAACTAAGTGTTTTGTGATAACAGCAGACATGAGAGGGGAAAAGAGGCAGTGGAAATACAAGAGAGAAGTTAGTTTAGTATCATGGTATTGTAGGGATATCTGTATATAGAAGAGATTGGTAGTACATTTGACCGAAAACTGGACAGACATAGTTAGTCAGTTAATTAGTCTACAGATTTTTCTCTTTACTTATCAAACCATTCAGTCCATAAGTGCTCAGATAACCTCCTCAGTAAATCCAGCAACATGTAGCGGCTGACGACACCAGTTCTGTGTTGGTTTCTTATTTTTTTTGGCGTCCTGCATAATGCTCTTGTCTAGCCATAGCTTTTTTAACTTGCTGTTCTTGCCATCTGGTCATGGTTGCAAATTTACAGTCACCTGGTTCTTGCAAAAGTCTTCTTTTCATAGAGCAGTCAGTAAGTCAGTCTTGTCCATGTCTTCTGGTATCAAACTGGATAGACATGATGATCTTCAAACACCTGGAATGGATTTTGATATGTCTGCTTCAGTCTTTTTCATGATCCTGTCTTGCATTTATTGAGTAACTTGAATGTCCCAAATGAACCTGGAAGCAATGCTGTTGGAAATTATACCACTGGCAAGGTCACCCAAAACTGACAGGTCCTAAGTGTTAAATCGGACTAAAGGGTTCTGGGCCCCCTGAGGTATAGGCTCCGTGGCAAGTGGTCTGTGCACTGCTCTGCACCAATCCATGCTGGTCTCATCTTTTAGCTATTTCTCTGAGCTCTCTGCCACAGCTGTAAATTTGCTAAAAAAAAAAAAAAGGGCTGAAGAATGATGAAGAAGAAGAAGAAGCAGAATGATTTATTTTTGGTTTAGTTAAAGGGTGACCAAAATATCTTGGGCTAAAAATCGGACATCCCAAGCAAAGTCAATTTAACCCACTGACGAATACTGATGGATGGCTGGGACCTACCCAAAAAACGGTGACAATGGGATGTATGGTGACCCTATTTAGATGCAAATGTTATATCTGTAACATAGTTATAATGTTCTGGTGCTCTTTTCACCTTTTGGGGATTCAGTAAGCACTCCCTTCCACCTAATTCAAATTGCCATGAGTACAAATTAGCTAACATGCCTTCTGATGTCACTTCATTTTATAGCCCTACCCTATAGGACTGCAGGTTACACCTGACTGGTTTAGTCGGTACGGGTGACCTAATTATAAGTCTTGGAGGTTGAACAGGGTATGTGGAATCTGCCATGTTTGTCTGCCATTTAGATTGATATTTTTCTGTTATATCAGGGTGGTGAAAAACCTTAATTAAAAGAAAATTAGAAACAGATGGGAAAACCAACCCAGGTTATAACAATGTAAAGATTTCCTCAAACACCCGAATAGAACAGACCAAGTTGCAGTTTTTGGCATTCACACTGGAACTGCAGATTCAACAAAAACTCATATAGATTAGCTACAATCCAAACAGCTCTCTTGTCAGTGTCTTTGTGCTGAACAGACTCCAGAATATGTCTTGCAAGACTGTCCTGTCCTAGAGGAGCTGCAGAGCAGCATATGGCTTCCCCAGTCGACCTGACAAATAATAAGCTTTGGGGGAACCTAAGAGACCTTAAGATAACATTCCAGTTTATGGCCCACATTGGATTATCCACACAACCAGTGATCACTGAAGACAATCACATTGAATCTTCCTTCCTTCCAGCTGAATACATCATACCATATAATAAATTTAGGTGGATGTAGTACCCATTGACTCTTGCCTCCAGTCGATACAGCAGTTGTCTGTTAGAATAAGTCACGTGTTGCAGAATACAGTTATGGCAAATTTTTTTCTCTGTTTCTGTTTCCCCATCTGTCGCCACGTGACCGAGATATGAGAAACTATTGACTTGTTCGCCGCCTCTCCCTTTCTCCCCTTCTATTAAAAATATCATCTGTCACTTGGTAACAATCATCAGATTTGAGTCGGCATTGCCATCATATGTTTCTGGAAAATTGAGAAGGAGGCTAACTTGTCTTCACCCCCCACCACCACCCCCTCACCCCACAGAGGCAACAGACATAAGTTGCCTTCATATCAGCTCGACAGCTGTCCCCTTTTTTCTCACCTTCTTGCTTCCAACACCTTGGTGTGTACAGACTGGTTACCTGGGTGTCGAGAAGTAAATTGTTTGTGCTGACACACTCAGGCAATCTCTGCTACTGCTATCAATTTTATTTACAAATACATAAAAGCCTATTTGTGTCTAGCAGTGCAAAATAATTGTAACAGTCACAACAGTATACAGTGGAACCCAAAAATTAGTAATAATCTGTTCCTGTGGGGAGGATGAATATTAAAAAGGATGAATATCAAATTGATTTTTCCCATAGGAATCAACTAAAAGTGGTTAAATCCTTTCCCAGCCTCCAAATTTTACCTATCTATTCTTTAACACACACAACTTCACTCAAAAATAAATCTTGGAAATCATTGTAAATACATTTACATTACATATTAAGCACTGTACTTATTATTGCTTTATCATCACGACAGAGATTTACTCGTCCTGATGACATATATATTCTGTAGGCCTACATAGATGAATAAATACGATTTTAAAAAGAAATTTACCTTTTGAATGAACAAACCAGTTGCTGATGATTGGAAGGAAAATCATCATCTTCCATATGACATCATGTAATGTCACTCCTGGTGATTGATCTCCAGATGATTCACCAGCACTCGTTTTGTGTGTGTGTGCGGGTGCCTGCATGTGTATGTGCGTGCATGCGTGCACGTGCGCTTGAGTGTGAGTGAGTGAGTGCGTGAGAGAGTGAGAGAGAAAAAATAAGTTATCCAATGTTGTTTGTTTTGTTTTGTTTGAATCATCATCAAATGAATTAACACACTGATTAAATATAGGAATGTTTAGGTGCTGTTTCTTGATGAACACCTGTGTTTTTGCCCAAGTGGACAGCCATTCCCTCTTTCAGCACTTAGAACTGGCCCATCATCTTCATTTCACTCATCTGATTATTGCGTCAGCTTCCTGTTCTTTATAAAGCTGGGGTAGCTCTAGTGTTTCGAGATCCATTCTCTGATGCTTCACCATTTCGTCTACATCTGCACTATCAATCTCCAATCCCATGGATATGCCCAGAGCCACAGTTTCATCAACATTAGGCTGTTCTTGAAAACCACCGAACTCTCTTTCTGGCGCACACTGCGGCCATTGTTTTTTCCGTGCTGAATTTATTGTTCAGGTGGTGACTTCGTTCCATGATTTATCAATTAGCCTCAAACAATGCAGAATATTAGAGTGATTTTCCCCAAAAATCTTGCAATATTAGTTTGGTTTCTGATGTTACTTCAAAACAGTCTGGCCCGTGGAGGTCTAGCAAATAGCAGATCATTGCTAGCTGTATTGTATTTATGGTCTTTCTGTCGGGAAATATGAACAAGATGCCAACACGCCAGTGCACTTATATACAAACTGAGACCATTGATAAGACATTCAAACATATGTATGGGCACCAAAAATCAGATTTTAAACAGTATATTCATACCAACACTTTGGTAATAGTGCCAGACTCGGACATTATCAGAGGCTAACCTACGTATAATTAACATTGCAAAATATGATGCCTGAGAAAAGCTGCCGACTTAACCATCTGAGACAAAGTTAGAAATAAAATGATATTATCAGACTGTAGGAACAAAACCATGCAGCAGATTCATTGAGAGACAGAAGATAAAATGAGTCATCTACCCATTCATAGTTTACCATAGAGGATGTTCATAATGACTCTACCATTCTCCATCCTCTGAGAGTGTCATAGCTAGGTGAGTCTTCAGAGACTAAGCATTGGGAAAACTATTTTGATATCTACTGTTCCCAGTTACCTCAGTATTTGTCAGGTAATGCCATGTATTCTTGGTAGGCGTTGCACATGATAGCTGTTTTTCATGAGCAAGTAAGCTAATCACTATTTAAAAAAAAAAAAGAGAAGGCTGTGAGCACAGGCCTAGTAAACAGTTTTTTATTTTAATAGTGAATTTTCTGTTCTCCCCAAACTCTTTTTAGTAATCTGACTTACAGAGCATGTTGAGAAAGGTGAAGACAGGCATGCTTTGTTTG